ACAGAGAATTAATAAGATCACAGAAAGCTACTCATTAATAAAAATAATGATGATGATGATAATGATAACGATGATGATTTCTCCACCTGACTCCTAAACCCATTATAATTTGACTTTGCTTCCATCACACTAGGGAAACTTTTTTTGTTAAGGTTACCTCATTTTTCCTTCATCCTACTTGGCCTCCGTATGTGGTGCTCTTGAATTCCTAGAAATTCTCCTTTGACTTTTAAGATAATAATACCCTTTTTTGCTTCTCCTCCATTTTTCGGTCCATTTTTTCCTCATACTCCTTTTCCTTGCTCCCCTTCCATTGCCCACATTTTGAATGCTGGGCTTCTCCAGGGTTCTGACCCCCAGTTTTATTCTTTTATCTCTCTGCAGTTTTTCCTGGATGTCCCCATTCCTTCCCCTGGCTTGAGAGCCTGTGGCAGGACCCTTCTCCCCATGGCTCTTTATTTCAGCCCTTTCAGATCACAGAATACTGTAGAGAAGGTGAATACCATTATAGGTATCAGATTTTTGAGAAAAAATGGACCACTCTCTGTCCATTAAGGAGCTCTCATAGCACAGTTCCTATGCCATCTGACTGCTAACCAGAAGGTTGGTGGTTCAAATCCCTCAGCCATTCTGCAGAAGAAAGACTGGATAATCTATTTCCATAAAATTTACCTCCTCAGAAACCCAATGGGGGTCGTTTTGAGTTGAAATTGACTCAATGGCAGTGGGTTTTGTTTTCTTTGTCCATTAACTTTATGGGAGCAGATTCAAATGAAATCCCTTCATAAAAGGCTTTAAGTACCAATGGTAAATCTTCCGAGGATCTTGGCACTGTAACAACCTATATCCCATAATGACGAGAACAGAAGAGGTAGAGGGACTTTCTTTCTTTTCTTGTCTTGTCTTCTTCCAATCCGTGGTCTATGATTCTGATAAAACAAGCTAACCAAAAGGTCTTTAGTCCAAACCTGTCAGCAGTTCTGCAGGAGAAAGATGTGATGGTCTACTTCTTTAAAGATTTACTGTCTTAGAGACCCTATAAGGCAGTTCTATTCTATCCTATATGGTTGCTTTGAGTCAGCATCTACTTAATGGCAATGGGTTTGGAGGTGGTATATTACAGTTGCAGATAAGGGTGTGTGGGCTTTGGAGTGAGAAGACCTCAGATGAATCCTGCTTTTATCACTGTATCCTATAACCTCTTCCCTCCTACCTCCTTCCAGCAGGCTAGACTGCCTTTCTCACATAGTGGATCCCTGACTTCCTCTTTCCTAGTTTGCCATCGTGTTTTGCTAAAGTCTCTTCCCCTGGAATTTCCTAAGAAAGGGAACATATGAGGGAAAGTTTTACATGTCTGCAAAATATCTTTCTTTTTCCCTTAAAGAGTATTCATCATTTTCTTTTAAGTGTAGAATTCTATTATGAAAATTTGTCCATCAAAATTTTGAAGGAATTGCTCAGTATAATGACAATTCCTTTGAAATTTTGATGGATAAATTAATCAGAAAATCAATGGAATTCTCCATAACAACACTACTGTACTACACAAATGCTTAAGTTCCACAATAGTGTTATTATGTAGAATTGTGTTGTTTTTCTGATTAAATGTTCCTTTGTAAATGTGACTTACCCTCCCTCCTGGAAGCTCTTAGTATCTTCTCTTTATTCTTAAGAGTTCTGGCACTTAATAATTTCATGCCTTGATATGTGTGTGTGTGTGTGTGTGTGCACGTGTGTGTTTATTGTATTGGGAACTGGGTAGGTAATTTGGGAAACATTTTCCATAAATTTTTAATTCTTTTTCCCATCTTTTCTATTTATTCTCTCACTTTCCCTGGAGCTTCTTTTAATAAGTGTTGGATCTCTAAATTAAGTCTTTATTTTTTTTTATGCTTTCTTTTTTTATTTCTATTTACCACCTGTTTTCTTTTTGTTTGACTTTCTGGAAAATCTCCTTGAGTTTATCTTCTACTTTTCTTTTTACTTTCCAATTTTGATTTAATTCCCAGTGGCTCTTCTTATTTTCTAATTGTTCACATTGTAAGTGTCTTATTGTTTCATGGATGCAATGTGTTTGTTATCTCTCTGCGGGCATTAGTGATTTTTATAAAATCTTCCTCCTGCTTTCTGCCTGGCTTCTATTTCCTCACTCAGTACCAGTCACTGCCGTCAAGTTGGATCCCACTCATAGTGACCCCTCATTGGGTTTCCGTGGCGGTATCACTATGGAGGTAGATTTCCTCAAGGTGCCTAATTTTCTGTTGGTCTGTCACTCTCTCTTTTATGCTGAAAGCTTTGCTGAAGGGTCTGGTGAACCTTAATTGTTCCTTCAGATCTAGGGATTGAGTGCTGGAAAGCTGAAAAGATCCACCTTGTTTGCATGGGTGGTGCTTGTCACCTGGCAGGCATCCCTGGGGCATTTTCACAGCATGAACTTAACTGAAAAGTTCATAGGGAGCTCCCAAATGTCAATATGTGGATATTTTTTATCAAGATACTCAGTTTCTCCAGAGAAGCATTCTCTCTTGCCTTCTGCATGGTGGTGACATGAGGTAAGGCTGGGAAGTGATCCGGTAAGCAGGTAGTGCTTCACCCTAGTCCTCCCTTCCAAGCCTTTTGGGTTCAATCTCTAGTGGTATAAACCACTAGACTCCTGCAGGATGGCGCAAGACTGTGGCCTGGGTGCCCTGTTTTCAGCCGTGAGACTCCTGCCACCTTCTTGGGTATCCTGTCCCTTCAAAGACTGAACTGCCCCAGCACAACTGACTTCTCATAAATATGCCCTTGCCATCTGGATATGGAGTCCCTGGGTAGCACAAATGGTTAAGACCTTGACTACTAACCAAAATGTTGATGGCTCAAACCCATCCCAGGGTGCCTCAGAAGACAGACCTAGTGATCTCTTGCAGAAAGGTCACAACCATGAAAACCCTATGGAGCAGTTCTACTCTGCAACACATGGTATCATCATGAGTAGGGATCAACTTGACAGCAACTTGTTTTTGGCCATCCCAGTGGTTGTCACTTTCTCCACTCTTCAGTTAAGTTTCTTTCTCAAATTTTCTCTTTCCAAAATGTTTTTGAAATATCTTATTTACTATTGCCTTCTCTTCTTTCTCTTTGTGTGTAGATATGTCTTTAATTCTTTGTATTTTAGCCAATTTGAGGAGAGAAGGAAGGTAAAGAACAGTGCTCAGCTTTCCCTGTTTAACTGGAAGTCATTAAGAAGTTTTTCAAAATGTTTATATGTATTTTAAGGAACTGGCTCCCTTTTGGAAGGCAAGTGATGATTGCAAGTATTTGGGCAACCACTTACTGCTACTTTTCCACACGGTCTCCAAAGTCAGACATTTGTCATGGATGGAAAGAAATAAGCTTGTCTGTGCTGACTGAGTGGAATCCAGGGTCCTTAGTTTGCATTTACCGCTCTCCCATTTGGTTCTGCCTCATTGGTGATTCACCTTGCTCTTTGATGGGAAATATTCCCTCCATAAACTTGAGAAAGATGTAAGGATTTCTACAGTGGAATTATTGTTTAAGCCAAACAACCAAATCACAGCAGGCACTTTGTCTGGGGACCGTGTGTCTAGCAAAGCAGCCATTTAAAACCCCAGCTGTATGAACCTGCAAACAGTCACAGCGAATTCACTTTACCAGGAATTTTATTTGTGTGTCGGGGACAAATGCACCACCTGACAGGATCCCTGCCTGTGAAGACTGCAACACTAATTATCTTTGCCAACCTGGGTTTTGAAAAACTTTATTTACTGGGCTTCTTTGGACAAGAAAATGAGGGAGTTGAGGATGGTGAAGGCACAAATGAAGTTCTTTAAAGCCATTGGGGAAATAAGGATCTTTCAAGAATAGCAAAGCTAGCCTAGCTGTCCATGAGCTATTAGAGGTGCCTCCTAATTACAGTACTGTCTCCTGTGGAACCTGCTCAGGTTAGATCCAGGCTTAGATAGGGCTTATCTTCATGTGGCCAGGTGAGGGTTGATAACGAAGTCCAGGGAAAGCTGTATCATGCTCATCTGATGAGACACTGTAAATGCTCTCAGCCTTCATGGGCCTGATCAAAGGCTGTGTTGGTACATGAGGATCACATGGGAAGTTCTGACAATACCGATGCCCAGGTTACATTCCCCGAAGACCAGTGACATCAGAACCTCTGAGGGTGGGGCCCCAGCATCAGTAGTTTTTAAAGCTCCCCAGGGGAAGAGAGACAGAGGTGTGAACCACTGCTAGGGTGTATATTTGATTCTGTTGTTGCCACAGAAGTCAAGAAACTTATTTAAAATTTTTATTACTTTGACCTCATTTACATTTGGGGAAAAGTGAAAATAATTTATGTTATAGTCATTTGGATTCAAGAGCTCTTCTGGTAGCATAGTCCCTAAGGCATGTGACTGATAATCAGAAGGCTAGAGGTTCAAACCCACCAGCCACTCCTTGGCAGGAAGGTTGGGCACTCTACTTCCTTAGTGCTACTGCCTCGGAAACCCAAGGAGGGGTCGCTATGAGTCAGTTCTGACTCAATGGCAGTGAATTCATTTGGATTCAGTAGTTTATTTTTCAACTATTTCGATGGTGTGATAGGATGGGTTTTTCTCTCTCTCAAGAAAGAGAGAGTCCCTGAGTGGTGCAAACAATTAGGTATTTGGCTACTGATTGAATGGTTTGTGGTTTGAATCCACCAACCAGAGGTGCCTTGAAAGAAAGGCCTGGCAGTCTGCTTTCAAAAGGTCAGGAGAAAAACCCTAAGGCACACAATTACACTTTGCACATATATTTTTGCACACATATTTTCGCCACATATTGTAATCGACTTGAGGGCAGCTTTTTTTTTTCTTTGTGAATTCAGACTTCAGAGCATGTGGGAGACACTTTTCAAACAGATGTTGCTCCTGTGGAAAAGATGGTGGGCTTTAGGTCTGTGGGTTGGGATCTGAACTGGTCTGATGAGACTTCACCAGGTTCTTTGTCTATTGTGGTATGTGCAGGTCCTGTGGCTGTCATCAGTGGTGAGGAGGACTCTGCCAGCCCACTGCACCACATCAACCATGGCATCACTACTCCCTCATCGCTGGACGCTGGACCTGACACAGTGGTCATTGGCATGACTCGCATCCCGGTCATTGAGAACCCCCAGTACTTCCGTCAGGGACACAACTGCCACAAGCCAGACACATGTGAGTAGTGGAATATAATGTTGCCCCTTCTGGGGAGAGGAGACAATAGACCAGGTAGTTGGGGGGTTCTTGAATCTTCTGGGGTGACCTACCTCCTGTCAACTTCCCACTTTCTAACAGACCCTCATGTTTGTCTTAAAACTCGAAGACTAGTTTGCGTGAGGAGTCTCTATTGGGGAAGAATCAGCTGGGAAGGAAGGTCTACAGGCCTGAATCTGGTTCCCTCTTTTCTTCACCCAGAATCAGTGGAACTCTGAGTAGAGAGGGCTCAAGGCAGGGAGCAGCCTAGAGGCAAGAGGCCCATCTTCATATAGAGAGGTACTATCAACAAGGGAGGACACACAGACAAGGCTTGTGTTCTCTGTGGACCTGGCCTATGTAATCTGAACTTCTGCCCAAGCCTCCATGCTAGGGGAGGGGAATAAAAGGTGGTGAGTACTGTTTAAATGGAAACACCTCTCTAGCTGTCCCTCCAGTGCCCTGAAGCACGCACTTTCTGAGAATCAAATCCCAGCCCAAGCACTAGGAACCCTCACCTCTCACTGCAGACGTCACCCTTCAGCTCAGAGCTCAGGGCACCTTTTTCCTCCTCATTTCTCATTTTCTGTGGGTTCTGTCCCCTCTCTGACTTTCTAGCTGAGCTCTGCTCAATCTTTTCTCAGCCCTTGGACCCTCAGTGGCTTAGCCCTCTATCTAGCAGATGTTCTTCTAGCCATGTCTTTAGGTTCAATGTAGGCTCAGCAATGCCAGTGTATACCTCTTCCCCACTTACTACTCCTGCTCCCAAGAAATCCTCAGTTGCTTCATAGATGCTTTTGGAGAGAAAGGGTACTAGTGAGTCCCTTAGAGCTGGAAGGACAGCAACAATTGGCTGGCTAGTCTAAGATCTCATCTACAGGCAGGAGTGAACACCAAGGTTCTGGAGGCTGAAGAGTCCCCATCTTTGACCCAGGTGTCCCATTAGGAGGTTCTGTTCATCTCTCATTTGGTCTCTGGCAGGGCTAGGAAAAGTGCATTCTGGTCTTGCTTCTCTCCTGGGATGAGCTCTCTGTAGTTGGGCTGTACTCCTTGTAGCTCACAGAACTGCTCTCCTCCCACTGGCTCACCTCACAATCGAGTGGGCATTTGGCTGCTGCCTCCAGTGGCCTTTACTTTCATTTTTGTGTTTTAGTTTTTGCTACACTAGGAGGGACTGGACTTAGGTCAGACTAATGTCACCAGTTGCTTCCCAAACTTATGTGTACTCCAGAATCTGTGTCAGTATCAATTCGAGAAAGGATCCCTGACTCTAGACCAGGGCTAGGAAAGGAGGGAAAGTACCTATGTGTTCAGATGAACAGTGGGAAACAGTGTAAAGAATGGGTCTGTGCTGCTACAACTTGTGCCTAAGATCAGGTCCATTTCTGGCCTGAGCCAGATATGTTATTATTGTTAGATGTCATTAAGTCAGTTCTGACTTACAACAATCCTATGTACAACAGAATGAAACACTGCCTCGTCCTGTGCCATCCCCATAATCATTCCTGTGCTTGAGCCCATGATTGTAGCCTCTGCCTCAATCCATCTCAGTGAGGGTCTTCCACGTTTTTGCTGACTTCTGTTTTACCAAGTATGATATCCCTTTCCAGGTATAGTTGGGAGAAAAGCCCTACTATGGTGATAGTGTGCTTGTAAGCTTTGGTCTAGAGTTTATGTTGCTGGTTTTTCTAAGGAGCTGTTGGTATTTGGACACAGAGAGATTTGTGCATTACTATGTTGAATATATTCCCTTTCATGAAAGCCCTGGGATCCTGGTACAGAATTAATTTCAGAGTTATATCTATGCTAGTGTGAGCTCCTGACACCAAGTTATTGACACAGTTGTCAAATGGGAAGGATTCAGTATATAATTCCTTACCCTTGAGTCGATTTGGACACATACAAACCCTATAGGACAGAGTAGAACTGCCCCATAGGGTTTCTAAGGCTCTAAGCTTTATGGAAGCAGATTATCACACCTTTCTCCCATGGAGCTGCTGGTGAGTTCAAACCACTGACCTTTCAATTAGCAGCTGAGCTGTATATAGGAAGGAGATTTCCTTGGGCCATGACAGTAAGTGGCCCTTCAGAATGGAGGTGTGGATCTGAGTGAGTTTCTTTTGCTGTAGGGACAATCAGGGACACATACCAAAGAGCTATGGCACTATATTTTTGGTTTTATGATACAAAATGGTCCTTCTAAGATTCTAGGCAGTTATTCTGTGCAAAACAGAGGGCTCAATGAAGATTGTGGGGAAGAAGCTTTATTGATGAGAATATTGAAGGAGCAGGAACAACTGTGCCTTATTACAGGATTCATGAGATGACTCCAGATTGTCATCATCCTCTGATACTAGAAAAAGGTTAACTTTCAGGGAAGTGGTGCATTTGGTCTTATCACTAGACAGTGGATGGCTCCTAACTGTTTTCAGAAAATATGTGTGGCACTACAAACAATGGGCTGGAGTCTTATAACCAGATTTAGGTAAACTTCCCTCTGCTAATCCGTGGCTGACTCACACCTATGTGGAGCAGTAGCACCAACCACTAAGCAGAGATTTACTGCCAAGAGGGCAGCAAGGGCTCTGATAAGAAAGGCTTGATCAGCCTGGGGAACTGCCTCCAAGATGTATGCCGGGTGATGAGACACTGTCATAAACAATTACAACCACATGCATCTTGGCAGATAAATACACAGACAACATTAATGGTGCTGCCAACAAGACCGGAGTCACTACTTTGGGAGGATTAAGAGGAGAAATCTTCATCTAGTGGATTGCCCAGGGGTTCTCCCTGTTGATTCCCTTCTTATCTCATTTTAACATGTGTGATGTGAGAAGACATTGCAGGAACACAGTGCTACCTGAAGTCAGACATCATTTCCCCACCTCTTTCCTGAAGCCCCGTAGTGATGGGTTTATCACAAAAGTGCCTTCCTTTCTTTACACATGTGTTTATCATAAACGGTGAGACTTTCTGACTGGAATGATTAGGATGCCGCTCCTCTCCTTGCCTCTCACTTTCTATCTGTCTTCAATCTGGCCCATGACATTTTTCATCATGTGTCAGGGCTGCTAGGATATTTCGAGATCACCCAGTACAATCTCTTATCAGATGCTGCCCTCCCCTCCCTGACATTCCCAACAAATGCTCTGCACTTGGGATTGTCTGCATTTGTAATGTATTCAGTTTTCCAGGGCTTCTAGAAAGATGCTCTTACTTGGCAATGGATATGGAATTGAAGACCTAACAAGGCCCCCCTCAGTATTTGTTTAGGAGGCCCCTGGTTCTCAAAGCATCAGGAAATGGGTATAGTCATCCCTGTCACAATCTGAGGGTCCTTTACTTTGGTCCAGGTCCTACAAAATCAAGGGGCCAGTTCAGATGGGTCACTGGGGGAGAAATTAACAAGTATTTGTAGCAATGTGGGGAACTCAGTTATCTTTGTCACCTGTGTGGAAGTACAGCATTTCAATAAAGTTGTTCTGGTGCTGTTGTCTTAGGAATCACTTTTTGCTTTCTCACGAGGCCCACTGGAATGCCCCTCTGCTCTCTTGAATGTTCTGGGATTCTCTGTTCATCCCCTTTTCCAAAACCCATACACAGACAACAACTTCACTCTTGGTTGAGAAGATGGAAGCCATCTGGAGGAAGTAACCTTTCCCTTCCTCCCTCCCCAGGTCAAGGTTATCAGCCTTTGTTTATAAGTCATCTCTGTCTCACAGCAATTGGTGTTCCCACCTTCCCAGATTGACCCCTCTTATCCTTTCCAGTCCCTCTGCTCAAGGGCCTGAAAACAGGACAATGTCCCTTTTCCTGCTCAGCTGGTCCTTCCCTCTTAGCTCTCCCTCAAGATATTGCTATTCCCTCCTTCTGCTCATCACAGAACCTCTCAACATTGCCTGTTCTGCAGCTCTGTTTGCATCTCCATTTCTCCAGGAATCCTTGAGTTTTCCATCCTTGATCTCTTCACAGAACTTGACCTTGCTTCCTTGAGTCTTCTTTCTTCATTAACGTCTGAGTCACTTGCTCTGTGCCTATTTTCCCCCTTTCATCTATTCTATGAATATTTATTGGGGGCTTGTGCCAGGCCTTCTGTTTTGCTCTGGAAACAATGAGGGACAAGAAACACACCCTTCCCCTCCCAGGTGTGCTGCTAGTGGTCCCTACGATGCAAGACTGTGCTCTTTACTCCCTTGGGACAATTCACGGAGCTTTGTTCTTCCAACTCTTACCTTTCTGCTGATGCCCCATCAGTCTTTACCCCTAGTCTCTTCTTTCCTGATCTTCAATCTCATACTTTCAACTGGTACTTTAGTACAATTCCTGTTTTAAATGCCTGTCTCCCCTCTGTGCATGCTTCCCATGTTCTTTTCTTTCCTTCTACACCATATTCTTCTTTTAATGCCTGGTTCCTTTCATTTTGTGAATTCTTCCCAGGTCCAGGCTACCCCAAGGTGACCTTCCCCTACTTGGAACTCATGGTTTTATAGTAAATGCCATTTCCTGGGCTTGAGTGAGTTTGAGTCAAATTCTAGGTCATCCTGTCACTTCTCAAATATGTGTACCCAGTTTCCCAAATTTGACTTTGAGTTTATTCCAAGAAATAGCTTTGATATGTCATAAATCTTTATCTTCTGTAGAAAACACACCATGGTTAAGAAGATGCTAGCTAACTGTGTGTTGGACAATGCCTGAATGAAGGTAGCCTCACTCCTTGGACAGCCCAGACTCTCAAGGGATGTTGTAGAGAGAGGCAAAGTTGTTGATCTTCCTGGACCATCTCCTATGGACTAAGCATTGTGCTGATGCTTTAACCAGATCTCTGAGGGAAGTGTTACTATCCTCATTTTATAGATAAACAGAGGCTCAGTGAGCTTAAGTATCTTATTCCAGATCATACAGCTATTGAGAAGGGCTGAGATTAAACCCAGATCTGCTGAGTGCAGGATCCATTCTTTCACTATCAGTCACATTGACTA